TTCAGCAATTAGTGAATCTGGGAGGCTGGCTCCCAGACACTAGTAGCTGCCATTTACATCATGTAAAACCTGGCATGTACCATAGAAGTTCCTGCTTAGCTACCGTGAATGAAATGAAATGAATTTTCATTCATTCATGGCAACTGTTTCATTCCAAGTCATTCTAATCTATTGCCATGGAGAATGAAATACTTTTTGTTTCATTTCATTTCATTTCAATTTTTTCTTCATTTCTACTGACAAGAATGAAATTTATTCTGTTTCATTCATTCCTGGCGACTGTTTCATTTTTTTAATTTCATTCCACCATGGCAACTGTTTCATTTTTTGCTTTATTCTTCTGTTTCATTCATTCCTGGCGACTGTTTCATTTTTTTTTTTCATTCATTGCCATGGAATTTTCATTTCATTCTTTCCAGGCAGTTATTTCATTTTTGTTTCATTCTTTCAGGCAACAATTTCGATGTTTTAATACACATCTAAATAAGGAAATAATATACAAATTATGCCTGATATGTGTTATGCCCTACTGCAGTGGTGTGGGAGGCCATATGGGGGTATTTTTGCATTTGAGGCTCAAATACACAACAAGATAGGCATGCTGTTGCCAAATAAGGCACTTAAATATTCTGTATCAATTACATAATCATTTTCCCAGCTCTAACAATGAAATAGGCACCTGAGAAGAATGAAGCAAGGAATGAAACAGTTGCCATGGTGGAATGAAATAAAAAAATGAAACAGTCGCCAGGAATGAATGAAACAGAATAAATTATCTAGAATGAAACAGGTGCCGTGAATGAATGAAAATTCATTTCATTTCATTCATGGTAGCTAGGCAGGAACTTCTATGGTACAGCTCAGGAGTACATGATGTAAGTGGTAGCTACCAGTCCACGCTTTGACCCAAATATTATCAGTTTTGTTCAGTCTTATAGTCATTGTGCCTTAACATACTCCTTGGCTTTTTTGTCAGCGGCCCCTGAATATCATCGTCTGCTTCTAATGAACGCTTTCCTGCTTGACATTAGTGACGTATATCACAATTTGTATCATTCCTACCGACCTTTTCTCTTGTTTTGAGACGATCCTTGATTGTGTTTCATCTTCTGAGATGACGCTCCTTCCGCTATGTAACAATTGAGCTTTATAAGCATACAAGTCCACGCGCCTCACTTTTTTTACCCATCCCTGTAGAACCCCTAGGTAGACATCTTTTACCCCATATTCCTAGTTTGATTCTTTCTTTATATTCATCGAAATTGACATTCGCCATGGACGGTATAAACTTTGCGTGCTTTTCGCAGTGATCCAACCATTCTATTTCATGATCACGACGCTGTACTACAGCGTTGTGCTTGCTCCTTCCGCGACAACCTGTTGTGCCAAGTTCATTCGCCTGATCAACCTCGTCTCTTGCTGTGTCTTCCTCAGTGTCATAACTATCGCAAGTCGGCCCATCAGGTGCTGCAGACCATTCGCCCGCTGTAACCCTTTCGCCGTTAACCTTCATTGTTAGCGAATGTAGAAAATCTTGCAGCGATATGAGCCCTTCATACTCAGGCGGCAATTGCTCAACAACGTGGGAGCAGATCTGAAGGAGCGATCGTGAAACGTATTGGAATAGAGGATAAGGTTCCATCAGGTTGGGACCATCTTGAACCCAAGTGGCTTCGTTTGAGTATTTGTGTCCTTCAAAACCCCTTGAATCATGGTGGTCTGCATTGAGCGTAACCATATTGTACATTTCGTTTTCACTCACTGTCTGGAAGTCACTTCAGGGGGAAGGACTAGCAGCCCCTTTCCTAGAGATGCCAAATGCACTTTGAAATCTGAGGCGCCATTCATCATTGATTCAGGTGGGTAGCACACCCAAATGCCTCGGGCAGCACTGGGTAGTGGCGTAGTATTTGGCAGCGCGATTTTGGAAGGAGAACAATTGAAAGCCCTGGTCGATTTGCCCCTGCCACTTAAATCTAACGGCGGCCTGCTTCAGCTTGTGTTGCAACAGAATTAAAGCGAGGTTAAAGAGTTAATGAACCTAGGGCAATGTTGTAGGTTTACACAACTTTAAAGGAGGTCCTCCAGCGCACCTGTGTTATCCTTTCCGACATGACCAAATGTGTTGTAAAGCCAAGCGTGCAAGGTCAATGGGTTTGATGCATAGCCCACTTTTTCAAACTCATTCTCTATATTGAGTAGCGAGTCAAACATTTGACTATTGTTCAAAGCGAACCAACTCACCGCGTTGTCGAAAATGTGCCAGAGGTAAGGTGACACATAGTCGAACCTCCCAGATTGACCGACGCGAAGTCTAAGTCAAGAAATGAACGACCGATGTGAAGTCCAAGTCGTGAGGCGAATGACGCAAAGTCTACTCTGCCGTAGAATAAGATCGACTCACCGAGGCCTGTTTTGCACTTCAAATGCGTCACTCACGCAATCCGCGATTCTCTCTGAAATCCTTCATTGTCAATTGATAGAATGACTCTTGGCAAATTTTCACCTTGAGGGATCGTTAGCAAGTCGGACTCGGAACTGCTGCCGGTAGTCGGGGACGAGTAACGGGTGTTGTGTCCATTAGCCAAGGTCGATGTTGGACTCCTGTGCTGGTGGGATCGAGTGGGCCTGAAGAGCAGGTCGCGGCGGTACATTGAACAGCGTGTTATTAGTACGAGCAGGGCCCACCACGGTGAGCCTGAGGGAGTAACGAAGAGTTAGCAGTAGTACGCAGCGCCACTACAGATTAAACCGATGGATGTTTCTTTATTTGTTGATTGGCATGGACGTTGCTGATCAATATGACCAAAGACAGTCACGTACGGTCACACACTAAGTTCAAGTTCAAGTTCAAGTTTCCGATCCACAAGTGACCTTAACAGTGCCTCGTCCTAGTCCCAGCGTCTGAGCTCGAGGAACTTCGAGCTGGTCTCACAGAGTATCTGCCCCATCCTAGTAGTTGCTCGTAATAAGGTGCATTTTCCTTTGTACTCAACAGCGAAATAGACTTCGCGTCATTTGCCACAACTTGGACCCCTTCGCGTCGGTTGCGCATTACAACTTGGACTTTGCGTCGGTTGTGCATCTCTTGACTTGGACTTTGCGTCGGTCGTGCATCTCTTGACTTGGACTTCGCATCGGTCGTTCATCTCAGAGTCTTCGCTTAGACTTTCCGTCGGCCAATCTGCCAGTGGGAGGTTCGTCTAGTCCTACCCTGTGCAAGTTTCAATCACTGCCGGGCCATTGTGGGATTCATTCCCAGGGTTACAACTGATATGATTGATGTTTCACTATTTGAAGTTGCGGTTGCTGACTCGGATCACGTACTACTACAAGTAGTACTATAGACTCCGAAGATCACGTTCAAACCAGTACTCCCTTCAGACCTTGGAAGTTCCCTTCGTGTCCTAGTTGCGGAATAAATTACGGCACTCACCAGTGGCAGGCTCATCTGAAGCAAAAAAAGGTGTGTTGATTTCATGCTACAACTTTGCCTCATTTGCCTCACGACATGGACTTCGCGTCAGTCGTTCATCTCTTGACTTAGACTTCGCATCGGTCAATCTGGGAGGTTCGACTATGCGTCACCTTACCTCTGGCACATTTTCAACAATATGGTGTTCATCCATCGAGTCTTGACTTGGACTTCCCGTCAGTCAATCTGGGAGGTTTGACTATGCTTGTTTCAATCACTGCCCATCTTGTTTCGTTATTCCCTGATTCTGTTGATCAACATATAATGATGACGTTACCAGTACTGTTGCCTTCAGGCATTTCCCACCAGTAATAGTACGGAGTTGGACTCATCCAAGAGTTATGAATTCAAAATCATCAGTCTTTTCAGCATAAACTGTTCGCTTTCCTCCTGACTTTTTGATAGGTCTTCTTCACAGTCATTAGTTCAAGAAGTCACGGCCTTCTCGCCTTTCCAAAGGAACTCGGCACTCTGGGCTTCCTGCCCGTGGCAAGTATCAGACATTGTTTGCTCATTGGATCTGGAACAATCACTGCAACCAGACAATCCAAATAGGGTATTTGTGATATTGCATGTATGATCTTTGCCCCTGCGGCTTAAATCTACCGGCGGCCTCCTTCAGCTTGTGGTGCAACAGAATTAAAGCAAGGTTAAAGAGTTAATGAACCTAGGGAAATGTTGTAGGTCTACACAACTTCAAAGGAGGTCCTCCAGCGCACCTGTGTTATCCTTTCCGATATGACCAAATGTGTTGTAAAGCCAAGCGTGCATGGTCAATGAATTTGATGTGTAGCCCAGTTTTTCAGACTTATTCTCTATAATGAGTAGCCAGTCAAACATTTGACTATCGTTCAAAGCAAACCAACTCACTGTTTTGTCGAAAATGTGCCAGAGGTAAGGTGACACATAGTCGAACCTCCCAGATTGACCGACGCGAAGTCTAAGTCAAGAAATGAACGACCGACGCGAAGTCCAAGTCGTGAGGCGAATGACGCAAAGTCTACTCCGCCGTAGAATAAGATCGACTCACCGAGGCCTGTTTTGCACTTCAAATGCGTCACTCACGCAATCCGTGATTCTCTCTGAAATCCTTCATTGTCAATTGATAGAATGACTCTCGGCAAATTTTCACCTTGAGGGATCGGTAGCAAGTCAGACTCGGAACTGCTGCCGGTGGTTGGGGACGAGTAACAGGCGTCGTGTCCATTAGCCAAGGTCGATGTTGGACTCCTGTGCTGGTGGGATCGAGTGGGCCTGAAGAGGAGCTCTTTACTCTCCTCCACCTATTCCTACCAGACTCCTACTGGACTCCCGGATTCCTACTGGATTCCTACCGGACTGGACTAGGACTGGGACAATTTTTATGTTGGCTGATCACCATACAAATTTTGTGTCCCAGTCCTAGTGGAGTCCTAGTGGAGTCCTAGTGGAGTCCTAGTAAATTCCTACTGGAATGGTCCCAAATTACAAGGAATTGCGGATTCCTAAGGAATGGGTATAGTGGAGTCCAGTAGGATTAGTCCAGTAGGAATCCAGTAGGAGTCCAGTAGGAATTTCCGAGCACTAGGAGTCCAGTAGGACCAGTAGTTTGTCACTGTTGTTGTTATTATATAATATTTAAAAAAAGCGCAACCCCAAGAATTGAACCCCAGTGAAAATTGACCCTGTGCAGATCAGGTTTCTCCGGATCAAATCGATATATTTGCCAATTTCCGGCCATCTCCCCTGTTCAGATCGGGCTCCACCGATCCATTTGGCCATTTTTTAGGGTCAATTTTCACTGGGATTGAACCCTTGACATTATGGACACAGTAGCATATTACAGACACGACCACTCTACCAGTTACACTACAATGGCTTTATTATAGATATAAATTATATGCCCTACATACCAACCGGCTGACCTCTTCCCAGAAAGGACGCTGGCAAATTCCGCGAGTGGGAAATTTGCACAACCCTCAACCCACCATTGAAAACCTCTCTCTTCCCACCACCACCCACACCCGTGCCGCCTCGTCACCACCACCACCACCAGTCGCCGCCACCACTCACAACCGCCCATAGCCGCCACTGTACACCATCCACGATGCCCACTGACCAACACCATGTCACCATGATCACCCATGGCCACCACCACCCACAACACATCAAGAACGACGCAAGAACGCCACATCACCAACAAACGAGCCCCCAGTGAGGCCAAGGCGAAGAAAACGGATGACGAGGACGACCACATCACCCCCACGGCCACCTCAACAGACAACTACACCCATGGA